TTTTTCAGAAGTCCGAGCAAGGATGGCGTTTGCAACAAGCACGGCGAAAGCCAACATTGCTGCAGGCCAGAGTGTTTGTTGTGGTTGTTAGTCACTGTTGGTCGATCAAAGAACATGTTTACCCACCCTTCAAAGAACATGTCCTAATCGCAACGAGCTTAAAATCTACGCGTCATTTATATCTCATAGATGTATGAATGTTTCGTTTTAGACAGTATAGCATCGTCGTCCGCATTGCATCTCGCAATCGCTGAGGAAATACAGACAAGCTGGAAGGCATCCAGGCAGTGAGCCGGCGTTTCGAAAATGGACCACGCTCTGCAGTTCTCTATAAGTTTAAATGTTTTCAGCACAATTGATGAGTGTGTATGCATATTCGGGAGGAATCCACAGCACACGGAGAAACCCAAGTGTGTGAGGGAGCAACACTTGTGCTGTACCTCCATGCAAACCAGGGTCTGCACCCCAACGCCCACAGAAATGGAGTTACACAACATTTGTGTGTTGTCCACCCACTCTCAGTGCTGGATTATAGGTGTGCTCCAGCACTAGATGCGTAGAATGAGTTTCAGGTCGAATAAGCAACGTGTGGCAGATTCCATCCAATCACAGTAAGAATAATGATGCTACAGAAAACGATGAGTAAATCACAGCACACGATGCCAGTAATGGCCACTCCAGAGTAAACATTCCGTCGTGGAAAACATTCAGAAGTTACTCAGATTTTTATTTTATTTAAAAGCTGAGCGGCTTAATCGAGTTCTGCGACTTATTTTGTGTAAACCCCGGTGACAGTGCGTCAGTGAAATGGTGCAACACTGAAACGGTGTCAATGTGTCAAGACAACTTCGATGTATTTCTCTTGAGATGGTTTATTTTATTAAGGAGCCACGTGCTTATATATACAGTCCGAGGCCACGCCCCCATTCCCGAACCTTCTCGCTGGTTCTAGACCGCTCACTCTGCCGCCAGACTCCACCGCCCTCTTCCGTCACCTGGCCACGCTTCTATTCTCAATCATTCCCGTAGCCACCAGTCCACTCGTACTGCAGGCTGACTCCCCTGTCATTACCTTCCGTGGCCACCAGTCCACTCGTACTGCAGGCTGACTCCCCTGTCGCTACCTTCCGTGGCCACCAGTCCACTCGTACTGCAGGCTGACTCCCCTGGCATTACCTCTCGTGGCCACCAGTCCACTCACTAGGCCTCGGCAAGGTAAGGTAAAAGTTAAAAGGTAAAAACAACGAGCCTACCTTTACCCTACCTTTTACCTTACCACAATACAATCACTCTACCCTACCTTTTACCCTTTAGCAGGTAAGGTAAAAGGTAAAAAGCAACGAGCCTACCTTTACCCTACCTTTTACCCATACCCCATACAAATTACCCGATTACAGGGTAATTACTGGGGTACTACTACACATGAACAAGGTTTATAACGGCAAATGCTCGGTAGAGCGCTTTATTCATATAGAATACTCTCGATGATTCCAATTTTATACGCTTTCTTTGAACTCACTCTGTCTGTTGTTGTCCTTATTATTGCTGTTGTCGTTGTTGTCATTCTTGTCGTCGTCATCGCTGTCGTATCCTCAAATCTTGCAACTCAATTTTAACCCACTTCCTAGTGTGGTATCGTCATAATGGTGACAATACTATATTACATCACTAAAAAAATACATATTTTTAAACGATCTTTTGTATACGTTATGTTTCAGCTTGGCTCTAATTGTCCACGCTCAACTGACGTTGGCTGTAAATCACCACGGCCCCTTACGTTATGGCAAGCTTCGGGGCCATTTACTGGAGTCGTGGAGTTCTGCCATTACGAGTACATTTAATAAAAGCGTGTTTTTTAAAAAAGTTTTTAAAATATTACTTATTAAATGGAGGCCACGGACTGCGCCACGGAGCTTCTAGCGGTAAACAAGGCACCGTATTTACCGGGTAATACATCGCGCTATCTTTACCCTACCGGGTAATTCTTCCGAGCTACCTTTACCCTGTACCCTTTACCTTTACCCTTTTACCCGGTAAAAAGGGTAATTTACCTTACCTTGCCGAGGCCTACCACTCACACTGCAGGCTGACTCCCCTGTCATTACCTTCTGTGGCCACCAGTCCACTCCTACTGCAAGATGACTCCCCTGTCATTACCTTCCGTAGTCACCAGTCCACTCCTACTGCAAGATGACTCCCCTGTCATTACCTTCCGTGGCCACCAGTCCACTCGTACTGCAGGCTGACTCCCCTGTCATTACCTTCCGTGGCCACCAGTCCACTCGTACTGCAGGCTGACTCCCCTGTCGTTACCTTCCGTGGCCACTAGTCCACTCGTACTGCAGGCTGACTCCCCTGTCATTACCTTCCGTGGCCACCAGTCCACTCGTACTGCAAGCTGACTCCCCTGCCATTACCTTCCGTGGCCACCAGTCCACTCGTACTGCAGGCTGACTCCCCTGTCGTTACCTTCCGTGGTCACTAGTCCACTCGCACCGTAGTTTGACTCTACTGTCATTACAAATGCAAAAATGTGATGGTGAAAGTGCGACAGCGCGTCATTTGCGCTCCTGACACAGTGGGACAGGGTCATAGTGAGAAACACGGAAAGGAGGATAGTGAGACAGTGCATTCGTGCAACAGTAAGACACTGAACATGCGACAATACATCAATGCGACATTGAGACTGTGACTGTGCTTAACAGTGCGTGCTTGCATTCAGTGCAATGTTTCTAAAGCACAGGTCGGGGTACCATATGTGACATGCACTCCTATCTAATCTTCGTTATGGGTCACGGCCACTCGGCAACAAACTTTGCGCGATGAACGTTTCAAGGTTTTTTTTTACAAGCGTCAATATCAGAGTGACGGTTATGGCAGGGTGCACAAGGTGGAGTTTAGAGGGATGGGTTGGGTGCAGTGCAGATTATCGGTGGAAGTTTACCTTGAAAAAATGTTAGTGGACTTATTTACGCATTTAAGAGTGTGGTTTGCCTTGATGAATGTGACATCTAAGGCAGTGCCGGATTATCCTAGTAGCAAAAGTAGCTACACATGTATTCTTTGGTTCTTTCGGTAAAGTCACGTAGGTAGAAAAATAATAATGAAAGTAAAAAAACTACTACGACGTTTCGATCACAACACAAAAGATCGTCTTCAGGAGGATTCCCTTTTTCCTCCTGAAGACGATCGCTTGTGTTGTGATTGAAACGTAGTTTTTTATTTAATTTACTTAGATTTTTCTATCTACGTGACTTTACCGAAAGAACCAAAGAATATGAATTCCTGCAGTCACGAAAGTTTTAAGTCAAAATTTAGCTACATATGCTACGAGCCCCGCAATTTCAAGGGTACCGCGCTAAATGCTTTCAAGCTATGAATTCCGGTTCAGTGATTCTGCGCTTGCTCTATTACTATAGTACTATACTGCCTTCAACTTTTATGAACGACTGGGTGTTTAAGGTTACCGATTTGTCGTATTATCTGGCTGTCTAGCAAGTGAAAAAATACAATTACTTTACTATGCAAGTAAAAAATGTGTGTTAATATTTATTTATTTTATTTAGGGCCCCTTTATAACATTTGCTACAGGCCCCGCACTAGCTTCATCCGGCACTAATCTAAGGCAACCAGCTCCAGAAAAGTGTCTGATATAGAACCTGTGTTCCAAAGTTCGATGCCCGCTCACGCCCAACATCCCTTGTGTGCCGAGTCAGCCTTCATAGGTGCTCGCTAACAGCACTTACCCCAACAGTCGGTTAAGGCTATACGGGTGATCTTTGTCTTTGTCTCATCCAATACAGAACTCTCACCTGAACCGATATAGAACCTTTGTATGATCGTGTAAGTAAGTCTTCATTATTGAATAATGTTATAATTAACGATTTTCGCTTTCTCGTCTTGTCTCGGGGTATTTTTTAAAATAAAAATCATAAATCTTGTCAGCAGAATACACTCAGAATTAAGGCGGTTTGCCACCAAGTCTAAGGTAACTAACTCCATTTATCTACATCACCATGTGTTTGACTATGAGGGGGTCATTGTCTCTCCCTTCTCCAAAAGCCTATTTTTGTTCGTTTAACAAGGAGTCTTTTACGACCAATATCAATACAGGTTTTTTTGGGTTAGATTGCGTAAATATATAAATGTGTCGTTAAACCCGCCACCACCCAACACAGCCAATTAGTAAGGGTTGTCACGTAAACAGAACGTGACAATTCGTTACTAGTACAGCACACCAGTGTGTTGGAGAGCGACGCCACAATATTTACAATCTTATTGTTCCATTGTGTAATAATAGGGTTTTTCCACTTTTTTCTGGCAACAAAACTGAAACCTTTTTACAAGGATTCATGTCTGCATTAACCACAATACTTGCAGTCAAAATGCTAACAAAAAACACACTCTGATAATATATGCATTGTCCTTGAAACTGATTGGTCCACACCAAGGGACGGCTTTCTTTTGAGCCTCGACCCAATTGGTGCTCGACCAGAGGACGCCAAAAGGCGTACAGCTCAAAGACAACGCACTATCAAAGTAATGAGAGCTCGGGGTGAGCATCAACATCATTAGACCTCCTTTTCCAGTACCAAAATATGATAATAGGGTTTTTATCATAGTTTCAGTTTTGGCAACATAACTGAAACTATGATAATATATGCATATATGCAATATTATCATATATGCACTATTATCATAGTGTGTTTTTGTTTGCATTTTGACTGCAAGTATTGTGGTTAATGCAGACATGAATCCTTGTAAAAAGGTGGTCTCTGCTGTTGTTGGTTTTGAGGCACATAGGTTAGCAACAACTATAATTTACATTGCGGTGATTGATGCCAGATGATTGCGTCAGGAGTACTTTAGCTTATCACTGCGATGCAAACTAAAATTCGCCGACAAAGCAACAGAGATAAGAGTTAGCAATGCCCCTATCTCTCCCAGCGACGTTGGGGGTGGGGCTAGGGGCGTAGTAAGGCAGCTTCAGGGAGTGAACATTTCTCCATCTGTAGGCACCTCTACCTGCGGCAGAGATTGCGCCCGTGCGTCAGCTGTGTGGCAGTGTCGCGGCTCAATGGGAGAACGTCAGATGATTTGATCCAACGGAATAATATCGTAGCAGTAGGTTTGTAGATATTGATGGGTTTATGTCCATCCACGTGTAGGCGTTTTGCACACGCGAGTATGCGGTGTATGTTTTAGAGATATTACTTTTATTAAAGTGGCTTTGCGAGTGAATCGGTCAGTGCCTGGATTCAGATAGTGCGGGGCCTGTAGCATATGTTATATTAAAACACTATTTTTTTTACTTGCATAGTAAAGCAATTGTATTTTTTCATTTGCTATACAGCCAGATAATACACAAATCGCTATCCGTAAACACCCAGTCGTTCACTATAGTAATAGAGCAAGTGCAGAATCACAGAACCGGAATTCATAGCTTTAAGCATTTAGCGCGGGGCCCTTGAAAGTGCAGGGCCTGTAGCATATGTAGATACTTTTGCTACTAGGATCATCCAGCATTGGAATCGGTCGTGACTTGAGGTAAGAATTCAGTCCTGATTCACCATCGCTGACATCGCCATTGTCATCGCAGATAATAGCCAACATCTGCCTTCATCATATTTACCATCACTAATATATCTGTGTCATTGTCACTAATCACCTTTACCATCACTAATATATGTGTCATTGTCACTAATCACCTTTACCATCATCTGTGTCATTGTCACTAACATTATCTTCACTTCCATTGTCGTCATTGTACGTGCTATGAAGAACGACCATGCCCCTAAAACGTCACCCATTATATATTTTTACTTTTTAAGGCCGCAGTATTATTGACGAATATGTTGAGTTGTTTTGTTATTCGTGCTCGTGCGCCACAGCAAGCACAGCAATATCACTCAATAATGTGTTAAATCATCACGAACACCATCATCACTAACATAATTGCAACCATTATCATACCTGTCAACCCATACGGTTCACCCGTATTCTTGTACAGGGAAATTTAGTTTTTCGGTCCATACGGCATACAGCCGTTTCAGTACGGGCAAAATAACCCCACAATTTTTGTCAATTTGTTTGTGTTTCTCCCTTGTGATGGGACTTTGTAGGATGAATGTTGTATAAGGGCACGGGGTGACCTATAAGGTCTGACTTTGTTTGTAATACGGTAGGCACCGATAAGAGGACAAGTATGCATTATCATCACTAAACATCAGTACATCATCACTTACATCCCTAACATTATCATTATGATCGTTAGTTGCTAAATGTATTTCTCACATTGTCAAACAAACACATCCAGAGGTGATTAAATTAAATACCATCTCATGAGGTGCACCGCGCGGTGCAGATATATTTAGAGCTGGGTAATCAATTACTTTGATAATTATCGGTGCAATTACTCAACGAATCGGGACAACAGGAAATGTTTGTAAAAAAAAAGTCTCCCCTCTCATACCATGTGTGCCGCTGGACGGGAGATGGTAGGCTTGGCTTGGTGATATCATCATCGTCAGCAGCAGCAGATGTGTCATGCAGGACATGGCTTGCAAGGGGTTTCTTACCTCTGTGAATCAGAATGCCAGGGCGGACCACCAATTTAAGTGAGCCCACTCAATTGACCTAAGCAACAAATCGTCCCAGCTCATAGGGAGATTATTGACAGCGGGTGTTGGAATGAGAATGTTCCCTCGCCATGTTCATGTGGAATTTTCACCACGATGTTTGAGACGAGCATTTTTGTAGAGCTTATGGAATATCGTATTGTGTTCTACTGTGTAGCGTGGTATTGTATTATGCAATTGCGTATCGTATTATATTTTTATGCTGGTTACTCATTAAACATGGAATGTTGGACTAACGTTGGGCCACGTGCCAACATTGGCCCACTGTTTTGCATGTTTACTGCATAACGCTGAAGCGGCTGAGGTCCCCTGAATGTATGTCGTGTGTTCCTCATGTCGGGTATCTTCACCAACCCACGCTAACCAGTCAGGCAATCTTACATTCGGTCCTGAAATCACTTACAAGTCTGATTTCATCTACCATTGCGACAGCACCGTGCGTGTACGTGCCAGCACACGCCACGGCAAGGGATAATGCCGGATAATGAATTTAATCTCAGTGTCATTCATGCAATTGTATCTCAAACGCTCTACAATGATTACACGAGTTAACAATAATGACAAAAGTGTCCAGCAAGGAGATGGAGCAATAAAATTAGGTCCTTGTGCAGCTGCTTGGTGAATTACTGCATCGCGGCATTGTGAGTGATGGAGGCCTTCATCCAGCAGTGGATTGATAATAATTACGACTGCTGATGACAATATTGTTATAAAGTATCGTATAGTATGCAGTGATGGATTCTCTTGTGATATATCATGCACGTTAAGTTGTGCTGGAAGTGTTGCATCGTTGTTCGTATTGTATCATTGTGTTGTGGCGCAATCTACGACTCCGAGGCAGGTTCCGTTAGGGGCTCACGCCAAGTTTATTGAGGGCTCACGCCGAACCAAAACCACCCTAGCCTATAACTCCCCAGAGGACAGGGGGCTGTGATCCCTACAACCCCGGCAAACTCGGCTCTCCTCCCAGCCCCGGGCTGGGACTACCCCAACCTCGGCCGGTCGGGCGGAGTAGCCTCCCCTAGCCTCGTGTGAAGATCGCCTACCCCGAGTCCCCACTCCCTACCCGCGACGAACCCCGGTTACGTCCTGGGTCCCCCTTTAAATACCCCCCTGGGGGCATGACATCACCGTCCCCCAAGGTCCGCCTGACGTCACGTTCTGTGACGCCACTCTCTCCGAGGGCGAGCGTGACGGTCCCCACTACTCCTCTACAATTGTATAAGGAACAAGGAATTTGTCAAATTTGTCCCAAGACACCGGCACTTGGGGCCTACTGTCCTTCGAACAATGCCACGAGATATTTAACGTCCACTGAAATGCAAACGGTGCATATTAATTGTGAACACAACATGGCAACTGCAATATGAATCTCTACAACAAGCAAACTCACTCCTGCTGGGCTATGCCACCATCCCGTGTTGTATTGTGCTGTATCGTTGTGTTGTTTTGTGTTGTTGTTGTGTAGAGGTGATACAACATGGCCGGCTCAGTCCTGTTCACGTCCTCGTGGGTCGTGGGGTTCCTCGTCATCGCCTTCATCGTTCTCGTCCTGTTCATCATACGCAGAAGCCGGTGAGCGAGCCTCGTCATTCCTCACAACTGCTCACTACAACACCTCAACATTTATCACTGCAACACTCCTCACACTATATTCTTTGTTCTTTCGGTAATGTCACGTAGGTAGAAAACAAAAAATAAAAATAGTAAAATAAAAATAACAAAGAATAGTGATTTTAATAATAACAAACATAAATAATAAATTGGGAATTATAAAAGTAAAAAAACCCACGACGTTTCATCGCTCCTCGCCACACCTCACTGCTCACCTCTACAAACTTACCACTCTGCACCATGAATTACTCACTATACCTTGCCATTACACTCACCACTGCTCACCATTACACACTTACTACTCCTCACCAAACCATACAGCTACATAGTCCACCATACCTCACCACACGAAAAAACCATACAGCTACATAGTCCACCATACCTCACCACACGACTACACACCTCGCTGCACCTCAACAAACCAAACCATATCTCACCATGACACAACTCACCACTTCACACTTCACCACACCATTGGGTATCATGGCCCACAGGACCATAGCCCTGGTGCACTGCCTTCTGGGCTATAATGCCATTCGTCTTCCTCTTGCCCCTTCCCCTCGTTCCCTGGCCTTGCTCCGTTCCCCCCCCCTCAATGCCCCCCCCCCCCCCATTCCCCACTCATCGATGCCCTCCGTGCTCCCCCAGACGCCCAGGAGAGCCTCCCATTGATAAAGGCCTCATCCCATGGCTGGGCCACGCCATCGAGTTCCGGAAGGACATGTACGCCTTCCTGCGGCGCATGCAGCGCAAGCACGGAGACACCTTCACGGTCAGCAGTGGCAGTGGGGACAATGGGAATGACAACAGCAGTGGGAACAATGGGAGCAGCAGCAATAGAAGTGGGAAGTGGAAATAGCGGCAGTGGGGACAATGGGAGCAGCAACAATAGAAGCGGGAACAATGGGGACAACAACAGCAGTGGGAATAATGGTAACGGTAGAAGGAGTGGGAACAATGGGAACAGCAGCAGGGATAACAGTTGGGATTCGGGTTGCCGCAGGCACCAAAAAAACCCAGGACATATCGTGGGAAGCAGAATATCTCATAATTCCAAAATAGGGCAGATCAACATGCAAGTGCATCGTCGTGAGTTATTGTGCAATTTACACAACACAAGAAGTTTAGAAGACTTGCAGGTTTCCGAGTATGGCATCTACATGAAGAGGACGTCGTGGGAAAACCAGAACAGATGGTAACCATACTGGGGGCAACCTTCCAGAGGTGGGACAAAGTCATTGTTATGCAAGTCCAAGTCGAGTCTGAAGTCATCAAATTCATGACTCGAGTCTGACTCGAGTCCAAGTCACATGACTCGAGTCCACACCTCAGAGGTGGGACAAAGTCATTGTTATGCAAGTCCAAGTCGAGTCTGAAGTCATCAAATTCATGACTCGAGTCTGACTCGAGTCCAAGTCACATGACTCGAGTCCACACCTCTGCAACCTTCATCTCCATATAGACATTTTCCGAGGCCTAGGTTACGAAAACTAAAAGTATAAACTTTTTCTTTGAACATTTTGGAGAAACCAAATTTAGACATTTTGCTTTTCAGGTTTGTATAATTATAACGTTTTCTCCTATATTTATCTTGAGCTCCACGTTACATCCTTCTTTGTTAAGTTATTCTATAGTTTCCTGATTGACTAAACTGATATTAAGGGAATGTGGAATTGTGCGCCGCTCACATTAATATTTCACGGCTAAGTGTGGACTAAATTTCTGATTGCGAATGACTAGATTAAATCCAGAGACTAAAGCCTAGCTAAATATCCTTCAACTAGACTAAAACTATGGCTAAAATATAACATACTCTTTGGTTCTTTCGGTAAAGTCACGTAGGAATAAAATAAAATAAATCACGACGTTTCGGGCGCAACACAAGCATCCGTCATCAGGTGGGAAAGCATGGTCTGCTGGTGAGGCAGCAGACCATGCTTTCCCACCTGATGATGGACACTTGTGTTGCGCCCGAAACGTCGTGATTTATTTTATTTTATACCTACGTGACTTTACCGAAAGAACCAAAGAGTATGGATTTCCTTCAGTCACGAAAGCTTCAAATCAAGATTCAAATATAACATGCTTACTAAATTAACACTGTACGCGTGTGCACTTAAAAATCATGTCTGCCAGTCTAGTGTGCGCCTGGTAAAGGCACCATGGTGAAATCACTGCTACTTATTGGTAAATGGCGGCTGTTGTTGTTGTCGTAGTGAAGTATATAGCGCATTTCACTACACACCCGGTGAACATAGTTAGATTTTTACTCATGACCAACATCAGTGGCAAATATTTGAACCAATCTTGGGCCTCCTCGAGGTCAACGCAGCCATAATTTCATAGCTGATGTGGTGTGTAAACATAAGGCATTGGTGCGACAAAAAGGCAGCACGGAATGCTTCTGGCCGAAGCACTCTCTCATGTGCCGTGACCACCTCGATCTTCCTCCTGTCCCTTGGTTTCAAGGATGTCATCGACAATTGTCAGCAGTTCTACTGAGTATTCTGGTGGCTGCACAGATGAATATGGGAGACATAGCGCTTGTTACATTGAATGCAGAACCACGTGGGTGGTTGGGCCGATCGAGATCGACGCTATCTTTGTTGCTGGTGCCGCATCTCCTCCCACTGCGCATCGTGATTCTTGTACAAAATTGGACAGTTGCCAGCCGCTTGCACTTATAGCTGGCCTTCACGTGTGCTCACTAGCAGCAACTTGCTTCAGCATCCTGCGGAGGCCATACGCCAGATCTTTCGTTGTCTTTGCGTATCCACCCTCTGCGCCACCGCAGGTGTGCTTGGGCGGAGAGTACATGACGTTTATACTGGACCCACACGATATGATGGCCGTGGCACGCGAGGCACGCTCCATGCTCGACTTCACCGAGTTTGCGCGCAAGCTCGTTCTCAGCGTCTTCGGCGTTAACTTCAAGGCCGAATTCTCCAAGGCGACAGAAGCCCTCAATGTCAGGTGCAGTGCCTCAAGCAACAGCTCACACTACAACACACTCACGTCTTGTATATGTGGGTGCAGTGGTAAGATAGTTTAAGATAGTGAGAAGGGCCTGGGTTTGATTCTCGACACGGGTGTCTTTCTGTCGTCTCCCTGTTCTGAAGAGTGTGAGTATGTGAGTTTCTGTGTAGAGTTTGTATGCTCTCCACTTGCCCTGCATGGGTTACCTCTGGGTTCTTCAGTTCCCGACCATGGTAAAAACTATAATTAAAAATACTATAACTGCTATAGGCCAGGATCCTTTTGAAAAAAATGATTGAGACTCATTAGTGACTAGATTCAGATTATTCAAATCCAATTACTTAGCAGTGCCAGCTCGCCACTCTGGCCGCTGAGTCACCCGGCCACTTCCTAGTCAAATTTGTCGAAGAAACAATACACAGGATGTTTAAAAGAGATGGACTCAATTTCAAAGCAGTATATTTCACGATGGCAACATGTTACAATTACACGAAAAGTTACAAACGGTTGAATGAGTTATCAGGTTTTACTAACCATTTTATAAATGCTCTATGTGCCCTCCACCTGCTGTATGGACAACATCGAGACAACAGTTGAATTCGTCCCAAACGCCTCTCAAAGTGTCTTCTTCCACTGACGTCACTGCTGCCGTGATTCTGTTTTTGAGGTCATCCAGATCAGTCGCTAATTGTGGCACAAAACCACGGTCTTTTGACGTATCCCCACAGGATAAAGTCGTAGGGTGTGATGTCTGGGGATCTTGGGGGCCAAGAGTGTAGCGCCAAGTCTTGGGGTCCCGTGCGATCTATCCAACATTGAGGCAGTGTGTCTTGCGAATGACTGAGGCTAGGGGCTGTTTGTGCGCTGGGAGAGGCATCTCGCAGTAATCATTTGAAACTCCATGCCCCGCCCTCTCTATGCCCCGCCCTCTCAATGCCCCGCCCTTTCTATGCCCCGCCCTTTCAAGTGGTAAGAGATTAATTCATGGGCGGTACGTGGTTGCAGAGATATAGCGATTTTAAATCGGGTCCATCTTTTTAAAACACCCTGTACATATGTTTTGCATCACTTGTGTTGTTTTATCCAGGCCACCTCTTCCCCCCCCCCCCCATTACCCCAGATAATCAAGAGTTCAGTGTACTTCTTTCATATGGCAGGATGGAAAAACAACAGTTTTGAAACGTAGTTGAATCCTAATTTTTTTCAACCAATCCAAGAAGGCAATAGATGCTGTACGGATCACACCGACACCGCCAGGATGTTTCTTGGATGGCACATTCGTCGGTGATGCGTTTGAAGGTTTTGGACTTCACCACAGCTGCGGTTTACCGATTCTTTGGTCTTCCGTTTGCGGAATGTGTACGCACATTACCCATGTTGCGTTGGAGCGCGGTTTCGCGTGGGCCATAGTGGTCACGGGAGACAGAAGCCGCCCAGTACCTCCACAGTCAGGTCCTCAAGGAGGTTTTTGTTTCCTGCATCCACAGCTGCCCTTTCCTGGCCCAGATTCCCTGCTGACTGCTTGGGTTGGGCATGCGCAGGCAAGAGGAGGGGGGGGGGGCCTTCAAGCCTTAACGCCCAGCCTTAATTTGATTACGTAAAAAAAACCTCTGCAAGCCAGACCTATTTGGGATAGAGCCTTTGGAGGGGATTTCTGGCAATACACGTCCATATAATTAACACCGAACATGTAAAAGAGAGTGAAGAAGGAAGAAAGATAGAAGATGCTAGGCATCTGATCAGAAGGGGGATCAAATCAGGAGCAAACCACGAGAAGAAGACTGAATTCACTGAATCTAACGCCCATTTCTGAATATGTCTATGCATGCTTGTATGGACTATTGTGTGTGTTGGTGGCAAAAACATCACAAGTTGACAGTTGGGAGCACAGGTGGTGCATCTGCCAGTCATCTGAGGCAGTCAACTCACGGCACCTGGATGCGTCCCCTGACCTTCCAGCTAGCCTTCAACACTTCACCGTGGCCTCAAGGTGCACCTAGTCTGGCTCAAGCGCCGTGGTGCTGTCACCACTACTTGGCGGTTGTTGTTGTGCTCTTGTGTGTTCATGCAGTTGCCAATGAAGGCCAACATCCGTGACGAATATCCGAACCGTTTTGGGTCCTCCCCTTGGTCGACTGAGCCATAAATAAGTACCTGGTGCGGTGTGTAAACATCGGCACAGGGGAGACAAAGACAGCCAGGCGTGGTGCCAGCCACGAAACCCCGTCGTGCACGTGACGGCCTTAAAAAGGCCACAGGGGGGGATCTTTATCTTTGTTTGCTCCCGAGTGCATGTACGTGTGTTCGTGTGTGCGTGTCGCCTCACAGCCACCTGCAGGGCAAAGGACTAGTGGGCCTGACGGACGCAATGATGTCCCAGCTGCACCTGCTCATGGGGCCAGGTTCGTTTGACGAGGGAATGGCCGTGGGGGGTGCGGGGGCCACAGGGACGCCAAGTGGCACGAGTCTGGCCTCTTTCACTTCTGCTACGACATCGTGTTCAGGTGCGCCGCGCGAATCACCGCTTCACCTCTCTCGCCCCCTCTTGGCATTTTGCCCATTATTTTTATTGCAGTTTTTCAACATCATCATCGTCGTCGTCGTCATCATTGGCGTCATCGTCACCATTACCATTGTCATCATCATCGTCAATGAGTAATGACTGTCCGTGCTGCGTGTAGAGCCGGCTACCTGGCTCTGTATGGCCAGGAGCAGAGCACGAACTCCCTGGAGGTGTTCAAGGAGTTCCGCAAGTACGATCAGCTGTTCCCTGCCCTCGCCACGTCCACGCTCTGGCCCGGTATGACACAACTGTCATGATACGTCTCTCAAGTATTTTTTATAACTGCAGTGCCCGGAGAAAACCCACGGGCACGAGTGGTACCATGAGCCTGTAGTGATTTGATGGATTGTCACGAATGCAACATTTCAACAAAAAAATCGACCCTCCCTTTTCCCGTCTCTGTTTTCTGCCATGCATGTTATGTTTCAATCTGTCTTGCATGGCCCATTCGCGTAACTAAATGCCCACCCACCCACTTACCTACCCACTTAGCAACTCGCCTACCCACTCACTCACACACTCACCCACCCACACTCACTCGGCCGCTCGTCTACTCAACTACCTACCCACCTGCTTACCCAAGCTCCCATCTGCTCACCTACACACTCACCTACCCACTGACTCACTGAACTACCCACCCACCTACCTACTCAATCACCCTCTTGTACCCATGCTGACTTGTCCACTGGGTGCATGTTTTTTTTCGAATGCCCATCTCCCTCTGTCCCACACCACGCTTTCCCCCCCATCTCAGCCCAGAGGAAGGAAGTGGAGCGACTCCAGTCATGGTTCTGGAAGCTCATGGGGGACACGCTGCTGCGTGCGCGTGAGCACCTGAGCCCCTGGCTCCTGAGCCATGACGAGAAGCTGATCGAGCTGCAGGGCGACAAAGAGACCCGCGATCGCACCTTGTTCATGATGCTCTGGGCCTCGCAGGTGAGAGGCCTGAATCAGCTCTGAAACGGAATGAGTAACGACACTTACGGTAGATCATCGATTATCGGGCGGCTTTGGGCGGGGGGGCGGGAAGGATTCACCGGATTTAAATAAACACCGGATAATAATCACATTATTATTTAAAATGGCATTTTTATCACATCCTTGTATAACAATGCTTTTCGGTGTTGTGTAATGTGTTGTTTGTGTTTTAAATGTGTTTACGGTATGAATTTGGCATAAAGAAACATACAAATGGACAAAAATTTATATCCTGTAAAAAGTTACTGTATTTACCATACCGTACTTACCACTCCAATCTTGAAGACTCTGCATGGGGTGATGATACCTATTACGCTCTTGTTTCAACAACTGCGTGTTTGATGACCGCCGGACTGATGGAGCCTTTAGATCGGTGCTCCGGCGAATGCCGAATTACACAAACGCAAATGCATTCTGCGCGACCTCTCACCCAGTGTATAAGAGGAATGGTGTGATGCCTATTATTTAATTTCCGCTTTTGTTAAATATGATACCAACATTTTTTTATACTTGACTACAAGAATGTAGTAAGGCAAGCCAGGAGATGGCGCCCTCAATACGCACAGGCACAGATGGATTTTGTTGAAATTCTGTGATCTTCCAACCTCGCCTCCTAAGTGCTCGATTACAGGCTTGAATGTCCCCCACGTGACCAGGGTAACACGGGCCCCGCGTCGTTCTGGATGCTGGCGTATCTGATGAGGCACGCGGACGCCATGGCGGCCGTGCGCGCCGAGGTGCAGCAGCTGCTGGAGGCGACGGGGCAGAGCGACGGCGCGGAGATGCGAGTGATCTCACTGACGCGCGACGCGCTCGTCAACACGCCCGTGCTTGGTGTGTCCAGTCACCCGTTTACTCACCTACTCACCCACCCACTCAATAATTTACCCACCTGCCCACTCTCTCACCCACCCCGCTCGCTTATTCACTTACTCACTCAACCACTCACCAACTCACTCGCTCAATAGCTTACTCGTTTCCTCACTTAATTACCCACTCACTTACCAGTTCACTCACTTGCCCACTCGCTCCCACACCCTATCACTGCCTTACACACCTCACCACTTACTCTCTCACCCCGCTTGCATTCTCCTCCACTCACTTGCTCCCTCATCCACCCACCCACCTGCTTAATTGTGAGGGGTGGCCATCATCCATGCCCGGCCACCTTTGTTTCTACAATGCTGTTGCTTACACACTGCATCAGATCAATCTTAGGAAGGCCCAGGATCGGTTCAGATATTTGTGACCGAAGTCGGCCGCGAGTGGGAATCGAATAGGTTAATTGCACATTGTACCAACCAATTAATTATCTCCCCGCTGCCCCTCGCCCCCATGCAGACAGCGCCATTGAGGAGATGCTGCGCCTACGCTCGGCTCCCATCCTCGTGCGTGCCGTCCAGCAGGACATGACGCTGAAGGTGTCGGGCGCCAGCGGACCGGGCCCCAAGCTCCGCGCCGGCGATCGCGTCGCCATGTTCCCTCACCTGAGCCCCCACATGGACCCTGAGATCCACGTGGATCCCGAGGTGGGGGAGGCTGCTGTCTGTGCGTGTCTGTCGTAGAGGCCAGGGCAGGTGCTCCGGTCTCTTCCCACACGAAGAAAAACACTCGTTAAGACGGAATGATCAAGATGGCCAATTTGGTAGCAGTGCAGCGAGTAATCATCGTAACAATGTTTTCGTCATGCTGCGTCTTGTCCAGTTATGTTAAAGAGTGTTTGGCATGTGAGAGGAAACCAGCACACCTGGAGGAAACCAGAATACTTAGAGAAAACCCACCATGCATGTGGGGGGTTAATGCTAACAATCCTACACAGATTTGTTTAAGAATCCAATTCTGTATTGCAATCTCATGGCTACCTTGTGGCCAAAAGTCTACAACATCAGAATCCCTAAAATACAACTACACATATCAGTACTAAAAGGCTCAATCCTGCTTAGCTTATTAGATTTGATGGGTACATTCATTGCGATTTCATCATAGAAAAGTCGGTTGCTGATCTATCTCAATCGTGAATTTGTTAAATGTGGTATAAAACTCATCTTCATGGGTTTTCTTAAGAATCATCCCACGCAAAAACACTGAAACATTTATTTACTAAACGATTCCAAGTAGGATCGTGAAAGTCTTGAGCACCTGATTAGGCCATCCTCTATTTCCACTCAGCCTGAAAGGGGTGAGGACCCCATGGCAACTGCCTTGCAGCTCACCTGCTCATCTGTGAGGCGTTGTCTCATTCCGCCAATGACAGGAGTTTAAGTTCGATCGCTTCCTGAACGTGGACGGCTCCAAGAAGACGGACTTCTTCAAGTCTGGGCGCAAGCTCCGGTACCCCACAATGCCCTGGGGTGCTGGTGTGTCCATCTGTCCCGGTCGATTCTTCGCCACCAACGAGATCAAACAGTGAGTTCCCCTTTTGTGATGAGGGCTGGATTAACGCAGGGTCCTGAGGGTCTGCAGCCTGGGACAAACACGTTCCTTCGTAGTGGGCAGGTAGGAACTTGGTTGGACAGCGCATTCGTGCACGACAGAAAGCTCGCGGTCACGTGACGCACTTCAACCAATCCGAGAGCGTACATGTTTGGGAGGGGCTATGCACGACAGACAAATAATCCCTGGTGGGCAGTGTGGAACTGTTGTTCCTACCTGTAAATTTTTGTTACCCCTACAATCTCTAACTTTAAGTGGGGGGGTCGTCGTGTTTGTACGCATGCGTCAATGTGCGTGCGTGTTTCAATGAGTGTACGTCAATGTGCCTGCGTTAGTGTGCATGCGTCAATGTGCGTGCATGCATGTGTGCGTGGCTCTGCTCAGGTTCATTGTGCTGATGCTGATCCACTACGACATCGAGTTCTGCGACCCCGCCACTAAAGTGCCAGACATCAACGTGTCGCGATTCGGATTTGGCGTCATGCAACCAACGCACGAAATTTTCTTCCGTTACCGCCCGCGCTTCTGAACAGTGATCACCACTACTTGCCCGGTCTCTAACCCCGCCCTGCTGCACTCTCTCCCTCTCCTCTGTGAAGTTGCAGTTTGTATCTCAGACATCTGTTTTAGTCGCTTGAAACTGTTCATCCCTCTTTGATTGTTCAACTTGTTTGCTTAAATTCTTGTCCATGCTACCACCTGTCAATCTGTCAGTACATCTGTCAGTCCTATCTCTCACTTATGTGTTGGTTCGTTTATTCATCTCTGTATAGATATCTGCCCATCTGTATATGTTTGATTCTGTGCTGCATGACTGTATCTCCACCTGTTTGTCTAACTGTCCATCTTTCGGCACCCCATTTGTCCATCTACAGAGTTGTTTATGTCCCTGTTCATTTGTCTGTCCACCTGTGTATTTATTCATATATCCATCCTGTCATCAGTCTGTCATGATCATAAATATTCCCGACTGCTTTAGTTGAATTCAATGACGTAAGAACTGGGTGCTCTAACCCACATAGGATTCGAACTTTATCTGAATTTGTGCGTCATATGGTAAATACGTCTTTGGCATGGAAAATAAAGTGTTGTGTTTTTCAATTAAAAGTTGTTTGGAAAAAAATACATCGGCTGGATGAATACATTACAGTATACGCATCCTGCAAACAACATTTCCTATTCCCGAAGAGAATTAAATGTATCTTGTAGAATAAAGGTACTATTGCTATGTCTAATTGTTAAATCGCGTCGTCGTTCATGCACATTGCATCTCACAATCGCTGAGGAACCACAGACAAGCTGGAAGGCAGCAGCCAGGTGGAGAGCCAGTGCTTTCAACAATAGCCCAAGCTCTGCAGTCCTCTATATATTAACATGTTTTCAACTAATTAATGTGTACAGTATGCGAGGGAGCAACGCTCTATCCCATACAAAAGAGACATATAAGTCTGCACTGTGCTGTACCACCTTCTGGCAAGCCAAGGCATCGTACCTTGATGCCCATGGGAAGTGAGTTTCACAATAATTGTGTGACCCACCATCCCTTTCCTCCAAGGTGCCAGATTATAGCTGTGCCCCACCACTACTACAGATGCATATAATACATTTTCAGTCAAAGTAAGCTACACGTGACATTACATCCGATGATGTGGCTGGACTAAAAACTACACAAACTACCACAGCAATAAATGCCAGAGTAACCATTCCGTTTAGCTTTTATATATATATCGTTTACTTTAAAGCTGAGCAATTTCAGTTTCCCAGCTTATTCGAGTTATTCCTTCGTGGAGACCCAGCGACAGTGCATCTTTGCATTCCGCGCGGTATTTTTAAAGCATGAGGAGAGACTATACTAAACACGCACTCCTATCTAATCTCCTCTTCATCTGCCATGTGGGCTGGGTGACCTTGGAAAGGATCACGGCCGCATGACAACAGACTGCGCGATGAACGTTCAAGGTTTTACAAGAGGCAATATCAGAGTGAAGGTTGGGGGCAGAGTGCACAGAGGGAAGTTAGAGGGGTGGGTAGGTGGGTGGCATGAGGATGCAAAGTAGATATTTGGTTGAAGTTGACCTTCACTTGACAAACAATAATCGTGCACTTATTTGCTCGGACGAGCGTGCGGTTTTCGGTCTGATATAGAACCTGTGTTTCATCCAGTACAGAACCCTCATTGTATCTGACATAGAACTCTCATCTCATCTAATACAGAACCATGATTTTATGTCACTTGTCTCATCCAATGCAAGAATCCTAATCTAATGCAGAGTCCATGTCTCATTCAATATGTAGTGACTGACTAACTACAGCTCCCAGTCAAGACAGCTGGCAGACTGCCTGACTGACGAAGATGGCAACGAAGACTCCAGCAGCACGACGGGATCCCACTCCAAACGACAGCCATGAGCTCCCGCTCAGGGCCCCCTTTTATCCTCCCGGCGTGGACTCGCTCAGTCCCGGTCACGGTTCCCTCACGTGCCCCTTCTGTAACCTTTCCCCTACATCCCTCTCTCTGGTCTATCACGTGACCTGCTGTCAGTCAGGGCTGTTGTAACTGCAGATCCCCTTCCCTGCCAGAAACAAGCGCTATGCTGCTAAGTACACGATTCTATATCACTACATCACCCCCCCCCCATTAAAAAAAAAAAATCAGCATTCCGGCTGACCTCCATCCTGCGTAGTGGAAACAACAAGAACAATAAAAAAAACCCAACAGGGATCGCTATCAATTACTGACGAAAACCCATAGTTTTCGCCGGTACCCGGACCCCAGGGATTGAACAATGTCCGACGACCGTCAGCGTGCCGCAGCCCGCGAGCATCGGGAAGGACCCCACGCGCCAGACGTCGTCAGAACTAATTTCGTCGAAAACAAGAAGGGGCGGGCTGTCGAAATCGAACAGTTTTGGAATGGGTCCTTGTCGCCGGGCCCCCAGGCGGGACAAGAATGGACTTCCTGGGGACATCCGGGACGATATGTTAATGGCCTAATGGGCACGCCCCCTCCAGAGAAGAAGACAAAGGAGAACAAGGAGATGACGGCGCATTTCATCATCTCAATACGTCCAGTGCATAGAAAGGGGGAAATAAACAAAACTCGGAGAAACAGTCAAGAACTCTGGGAGTAAAGGCCAGCTAGTTAAAAATATGTTAATCGTTTCCGATTCCAATTTTTTTTTATACAAACTATTTTGTTGTAGAATGTATTAATAGTGGATTAATACAGCACGAATAGTTTAAGAAGTGATACAAATGATACTATATACATAGACAGAATAAAAAGGGACCTTATAGCTGCTCACCCTGAGCTATAAATGTTCTGATCGTGCATTGTTTTTGTATTGTTCGCCTTTCTCTCGTCTGCCACTCGTGAGACTAGGCCCTCAAGAAGGCTCTCTCTAGTGTAGGCCAAGCAGTTTCAAAGACAATGCATATGTAGTGTAGTGAGTTCTGGAGACGTTGGAGACTGATCTTGGAGGCAACACTTTTTATTCACAATACTTCGGCAATCCAGCCCCGGCTCACTCAGGGCAATGGCCCTTCTATACACACTGCCTGGGGAGATATTTCCTCTGGCTAACGTGCCCTAACACTGGACCACTCCTCTGACACTCGGCAATACAACCCCAGCTCACTCTGGGCAATGGCCCTTCTATACACACTGCCTGGGGAGGTATTGCATCTGGGCTATCGTGCCCTAACACAGGACCACTCCTCTGGGTCCTCCGGCTACGGGTGCCTAGGGGAGGCTACTCTAACCCAACCTAGTCAGGGTGCGGGTTCCGACCACTGGTCCACTCGGACCCGGCCCTCACAAGGACGTCTGACCGGGGATTCCAGGCTCTCATCACTGAGCCACACAGAGTCCCGGCCCTTACAAAGGCAGTGAGGCTAGGGGTCCCAGGGTCCTATCTAGCTAGTCTTCTTGCTTCTGTCTTGGACTGGCCCCGGACCCTTCCAGGGGTCCGGCTTTTATACCCAGCACCGGTGCGTCAGCCCTGGCTCCGCCTACCTTCTAGAAAGTTGCCGAAGGGGCTCTGGGGTATCCGAGAACACCCCACAGCCCCCTCCTGCTCTGGGGCTCGGGATATTGCGACTGCCCCTGCTGGACTGTGTCTGCCCCTTCAAGTAAGTGTACATAGCCCATTTACGTCGCTACACATATATTATCAGAGCATGTTTGTTTACATGTTCACCACAAGTACATGTGGTTAAAGCGAACTTGATTCCTTGCAAAAGGTTTCTATTTGGTGTTTGAACATCTTAACACCTGTTTTATTGCCAGAAAGAGTAAAACTTATTGTTATTTTTTCAGAAACAGAATAAACATAAAACGATGGTTCTGAATATTTAGGGGAAGTGGGGGGAAGGTGGGGGGAGGTGGGGGATGTGGGAGGGAAGTGGGGGTGGGCTTGGAGTCGACTCTACAATATCCGCGTAAAGAATCGATTCCCATGCGTTCCCGCACGACCGAATCGGGAATCGATTCTTCAAATTTTCAAGAACAAATTCCGCGTGCGAGCGGTCACTCGTACCCTGTCGTCCTGAGGCAGCTCCTCTCCTCCGTGTGGCTGGTACGTGTCCGTGTTCATGGTGGTTTGCCCCAACAGTCTGTTGAGACTGTTTGCGGCGAGGGAGGTGGGCGTCTTGGTTGATGGTGTGGCAGTGTCACGGCTGGATGATTTATAACCCTTGCGAATTGTTGCAAGCGCAGACGTCGTTTGTGGAACGGGTGTAATACATTTAATGCTTGTCGTAGTCTTCCGTTTTGGGTTCGTCCACGCGTCGGCGTTTTTGCAAATAGTTGTGTTTTAAAGTTTTCGAGTTAATGCTCCAATTGACGTGGATTTGCGAGTGAATCGTCCGTGGCTTGAGGTAAGAATTCAGTACCGATTTCCGTCTTCACTGGCATCAACACCATCGTCACTGCCACCACAGTTACAGGTGTATAGTCGTTACAGCAGACATGGTCTAAACATAATATATGGTTTTGGGTCAGATCGCGTTATTTATAAATGTGTCGTAACCCTCCACCACCCGACACGGCCAAACAGTCAAAAATGTGTCACGTTTTTCAAAGGACAAAATAATTCACTTCTTTAGCCCACCGGTGTGTTGAAGAGAGAATCAACAGCATTTTTAAATTTGAGTAGTACGACGTTTCGCTGATAATTACAATCAGCTTCATCGGGCAAGAATGCACACCGGTGGGCTACAGAAGTGAATTATTTTGTCCTTTGAAAAACGTGACACATTTTTTACTGTTTGGCCGTGTCGGGTGGTGGAGGGTTACGACACATTTATAAATAACGCGATCTGAACCAAAAACCTATATTATGAATAATATTGGTCGCGAAAGCTACGTGTTAAATGGTCTAAACAGCCAACATCATCGTCATAACAGCATCACATTAAATTCAGCATCACTGATTTATTGGCGTCATTGTCACTTACATTATCATCACTAGCATTGTCATCGATGTGTGTGTTATGAAGAAGGTGCATTGCCTGAAACGTCACCTTTTTACCAGGTAAGGTCCACTGAACTATACAAGTATCGCTATTTTTCCGAAGTGACCTGGCCACGAAATAATATCTCGACGAAGTGGCTTATAATTTGGACATATATCTATAGCAACCGCATACTCTAAACCAGTGGTTCTTCACATGGGGTGTGAGACATGGCCACATTTGTTCAGAAGGTAAATTATCGAAACAAATTAAGCACGGGCACGTAAGTACAAGGAGGTCTCATAGTGTCAATGCTTACCCGAGCTCTCAATACTCTGATAGTACGCTGTTTTTGAGTTGTACGCCTTTTGGCGTCATCTGGTCCAACACCAGTGGAGACTAGGCTCTAAGAAAAGCTGTCTCGGGTGTGGACCAATCAACTTCAAGGACAGTGCATATCATTACCATTATCAGAGTTGTTTCTTTTTGTTTGCATTTTGACTGCTCGTCTTGTGGTTATTGCAAACATGATGCCTTGTATAAAGGTGTCAGTTTTGTACTAGTTTAAAGGGTAAAAACCTACTACTATATTTTGCCACTGGTAAAGGAGGTCTCATAGTACAATAACTTTGTTTCATGAAACCTGTGTACTTAGTAACATTCTACATTTTTCCAACGATTGATAATCAAAGTGGGTGCAAGGCTGCAGTGAATAACCACTGCTCTAAACGCACGTTTCGATTACAAATGTGGAAGGAAAAACAGATAAATTAGAAACTCCAAATATACAGGTCGTCATGCAACTGCGACTGGATCGTGAGCAATGACAATGGGTGTGGAAAGCCTTCATCCAGTAGGGGATTGACGAAGGCCGATGATGGTATATACAATATTGTGATGTATTTATAGTGGGCAGTAATAGAATGTGTTGAGATGTGGCATGTTATGTTGTATCGTTGTTTGTATTGTATCGTATAAAGGACCAAGTAATGTTTCAAATGTCCGTCATGACTCCGACACATTTGGCCTACTATTTTTCAAATAATGCCACAGGCTTTTTTTAATGACCATCGTGAAGGAGACGGTGTGTGTTCGTGGATAGTACAACTGAAGTATTAACCAGGGCGTCCGGGAGGCTCGAACTTTGAACCTCTGATACAAATGACAAATGCACTTCTGCTGGGCCATGTCACCGCCCCGTGTTGTATTGTGTTATATCATTGTGTTATATTGCATATTATTGCATTGTTGTGTAGAGGTGATTCATAATGGCCGGCTTGGTGCTGTTCACATCCTCATGGGTCGTGGGGTTCCTCGTCATCATCGGTCTCGTCCTGTTCGTCACACGGAGAAAACGGTGAGTGAGGCTCACCATTCTTCACCACTGCTTACCACACTGATCCGCTCATCACCACTTCTCAATCGCAACACCTTATTGCTCCTCACAGTTACCACTCCACACCAATAAAACACTCGCGATGCTTTTCCATTACACACTCGGCACTCTTCAACACTACACACCCGCCACACTTTACCATTATACACTAACCAAACCACACCACGACATTTTGTATTAAACCTCATCACACCATTGCACACCTTGCTACACCTAAAAAAATCATAGCATACCTAACCACTGTTCACCTCAGCACTACACATTTCCACCCCATTACACACCTCATTATTACACATTCCACCAAACTAATCAAACTAATAAGTACCATGGCCTAATCTTCTTCTATATATATGAAGAGCAGTCGGAGACTGGTTTAAGCACTTTTTTATTTCTCCAACTCGTTCCAAAACCAACCCCGAACACGGGTCTCACAGCCCCTTTTAACCCCTCCATCTCCGCCCTCGCTCCCAATACACATACACGTCTGGCACGCCTGGTCATTGTCCTTTAACCCCTGACCCCTGTCCAGCGCATTCCCGTGCGTGTGATTGGTGCGTGTTATAGTGAGAGTGGAGATTTCGTGTCTGCGTGGTGCGTGTGTGTGAGGGTGGCTCGCAGATCCCTTATATCTATAAAAGTCAAAAATTGTCTGTTTGTGGGTTTGTGTGTGGCTTTGTGTGTGTTCGCGCGCTTGCGGACGATTTCGCTCTCCAACTGTGGGGTTTACGTTAAATAAAAATAGCCAGGTACCATGCCGTAAGCCCTGCCGTGAGCAAGCGCTATTCCTTTTTCACATCCGTCAACTTTAAATTAGTTTAATTTGCGATTTAGTGAGATTTTTGCATGCTATCTCTTTATATTTTTTATTTATGACGCGTGCACGTGCCTTTGGTGGGGGGGACGGCCCATGCATACACTAAACGCTCAGGTAAATTCTTGACTGTGTGATGTCCCCCCCACCCTGATGCGCGCAGTTACTACTATACAGTCGGTAGATGCTACCACTATAGGCCATAGATGTTACTGCAGAGCGGCCGGGGAGATCGTGGCTAGGGGGAGGTGGGGGGTGGGCGTCAGGGGTAGCAGCCCAGCCCCAGCCTGCCAAGGTGCCACCTCGGCCGGCTGGACAATCTAGGCGAAGCCAAAGGCTCTGCATGGGACTAGGCCTCACCACGCCACTCTGTCAGGTGATTACTTTGTGCTATAGAGTCGATAAATACTGCTATAGAGTCAACATGTACTACTGTAGTGATAACAGGTACCACCACAGTCAGTACGCACTGCTGTTAGATTTTGAAGAGGAGTTTGGAAATATTTTTTGGGCCCGGGCAATGCCGGGTATATAAGCTAGTGGGCTATAAAACTGGTAGCACACCCCTCCTCCTGTCCCTAATGCGTGAACTATATCTCTAGCCCCTCTCCTCATTCCCTGGCCTTGCTCTGTTCCCCCCAATCAATACCCACATGCCCCCCCCACCTCAATGCCCCTCCACATTCCAACCCATCAAAGCCGTTTGTGCCCCCCCCCCCCCCCAGGCGCCCAGGAGAGCCTCCTCTTGATAAAGGCCTCATCCCATGGCTGGGCCACGCCATCGAGTTCCGGAAAAATGTGTACGCCTTCCTGCGGCGCATGCAGCGCAAGCACGGAGACACCTTCACGGTCAGCAGCAGCAGTGGGGACAGTGGGAACAAATAAACGTGGTACAAATAAACGGGATATGATGGGAAGCAGAATATCTCGCACAATAACAAAATAGGGCAGATCAACATGCACGTGCATTGTAGTGAGTGCTGTATTATAATGCAATTTACACAAACAGGGAGTTTAATGTCGCAAGAAGACTTGCAGATCTCCTCAGGCATCTTATTTGTGAAGAGGATGTCCTAGGAAGACCAGGACAGGTGACAACCGTAGTGGGGGTAAGTAACTTCTACGCAAACTCTCCTATGCCTAGGTTACAAAACCAAAAAGTACAAACTTCATTTTTAAAAATGTGGGGGCCGCTAATTTTGACATTTTGGTTTTAAGATTAGTTTAGTTATTACCTTTTCTTTCCAGTCAATTCGATGCCTCTAACTTGCACATCTGATGCATGTATCCCTCTCTCAGTATAATTCCAAGCATGCACCTCCTCTCCCGTGATTTTCTGTAGCCATTTTGTTTCACTTTCTTTGTATGTCAAATGTGGTTGTTTTATTCCTTAAGCACATTGGTTATTTTCATTCAGTTTAGTTTTTCAAAAGAATTGCAACCTACTCTTGTCCACCTCTTTATTTCATCCTTTTAATCCCGGTCAGCCTTCACATAAAGCCTGATGTCTATTCCAGTTGTGTTCCTCCAACACAAATCTTCATTTGTTTGTTGAACTCTACTTGTTTTTTACATACTTATCTTGAGCCCCACATTGCAGCCTTCTTTTTAAATTGTGTTGCCCCTCACACCAACATGGCATGACCAAGTGTGGACTCAAATTCTGACAGTGAATAACTAAATAAGATCCAGACTAAAACCTGAATAGAATTACACAGGTTGTCTTCAACTAGACTAAGACTATGACTAATATAAAATGTACTCTTTGGTTTTTTTGGTAAAGTCACGTAGGTAAAAAATAGAATAAATTAAATCACGACGTTTCGGAGGAAACACAAGCTTCCGTCTTCAGAGGCACCGTCACAGCAAAACGATTGTATCAAGTGACGGTGCCACCTGAAGACGGAAGCTTGTGTTGCCTCCGAAACGTCGTGACTCAATTTATTTATATTTTATTTTTTACCTACGTGACTTTACCGAAAAAACAAAGAATATGGACCCTTGCCATCACGAAAACTTCAAATCTAGAATATAAAATGTGCTGAATAAATTCATCCTACTGTGTACGTGTGTGCACTTGAAATTGTGCGTGCCAATCATCTGCGTCTGTGCTTGGCACAAGCACCATGGTGATGTCACCGCCACTTAGAGGCCAATGGACAGCGGTTGTTTATTGTTGTAACTTAGTGGATAGCACATATCACTACAAACTCAGTGAAGATTGTTTTATTTCAACTCATGGCCAACATCAGTGGTAAATATGGGCCTCCCCTAGGTCAACTCAGCTATAATTTCACAGCTGTGCGGCGCTGGCCACATCACCACCTTGCGCACCCTGACGTCCTCCGCCAACTTCCTGTTCTTTGGGTTCAAGGATGATATACAATCGTCGGCTGTTCTTCGAAGTCTGCATGTGGCTTCATTGATAAATTCGGGAGACACAGCACTTGTCACTTAATGCAGAGCCACGTGGGTAGTCGGGCTGATCGAGATCGACGCTATCTTCGTTCCTGGTGCTACATCTCCTCCTGTGCAACGAGATTCTTTTCAAATTTTCGGACGCCCTTTTTAATGGCGTGGTGCCACACACTACTCGCTAACAGCACTCGCTTCAGCAGCCTGCGTAGGCAATATGCTGGATCTTTTCATTGTCTCTTTGTGTCTCCCCTGCACCGCCGCAGGTGTGCTTGGGCGGGAAGTACATCACGTTCATGCTGGACCCACACGAGATGGCGGCCGTGGCGCGCGAAGCACGCACCGCGCTTGACTTCAAAAAGTTTGCACGCCAGCTCGTCTTGATAGTCTTTGGCGTAAACTACAAGGTCGAGTTCCATAAGGCCACCAGCGCCATCAACGTTAGGTGCGGCACCTCAAGCTACAGCTCACACCAAAGCTCACTCGTGATCCTTTTAACTCTGGCGCAGGGTGGCGCAGTGGTAACACAAGCTTGTGTTGCACTATTGAGTGTGGTGCATGATCCAGTCACCTCAGGCAATCAAACCAGAGCACCTAGGTATGTACGCTGACCTGCCAGCAAGCCTCCGACACTTCACCGTGGCCTCAAGGTGCAACCAGCCTGGCTCATGCACCATGGTGATGTCTCTGCCACTTTGTGGCGAATGGCGGTTGTTGGTGTGCTCTTGCGTGTGCTCATGTGGGGAGCTGTAGTGTAGTGGGTAGCCCACTGACCTGGCTTTACTTGCCACTCACAGCCAACATCCGTGACGAATATCTGTTGGAGCCCTCCCCGGGGTCGACTTAGTCATAAATTAGTCCTTGGTATGGTATGTAAGCAGCACTTGGGAGACAAGGTCAGCCAAGTTATGGGATGATGAAACACTCCCTTGCTCCAACAGCTGCACGGGGGACCGTTGTGTGCTCACATGTGTCACGTGTGCATGGTCGCGTGTGCGTGTCGCCTCGCAGCCACTTGCAGGGCGACGGGCTGGTCGCCATGACAGACGCCATGATGTCCCAGCTGCACCTGCTCATGGGGCCAGGCTCATTCAATGAAGGAAACGGTCGTGGGGGGTGCGGAGGGCACTGGGATGCGAAGTGGCATGAATCTGGTCTCTTTAACTTCTGCTATGACATCGTGTTCAGGTATGCTACACTGAGTTATGCTCCTCTTCTTATGCTCCCCTCTTGGTATTTTCCCTCTGTTGTTTTCATTGTGATTTTTCGACATCGTTATCATTGCCATCGTCATCATTGTGGTTATCATCGTTATTGAGTAATGCCTGTCCATGCTGTACGTAGAGCCGGCTACCTGGCTGTATTTGGCCAGGAACCGGGCGGGCCAGCTGTGCAGACCACACGCTCCCTAGAGGTGTTCAAGGAGTTCCGCAAGTACGATCAGCTGTTCCCCGCCATCGCCACTTCCACGCTCTGGCCCGGTATGACACAATGTTCATGATATGTCTCTCAAGTATCTTTTATAACTGCAGTGCCCGGAGAACACCCACAGGCCTACAGAGATTTTATCAATTGTCACGAATGTGAGGTCAGCATTCGACTAAACAAATTAAATATTTTGTCCCGTTTGTGTTATCTGTCATGCATGTTTTGTCTCGTGTGGCCCATTGTCATAACTGTAACTGCCCAGCAAGCTACTCATTTGTTCACCAACCCAGTTACTCAACCACCCGCTCACCTACCCACTCACCCGCTCACCTACCCACTCACCCGCTCAATTACCTGCTTACCCACATGATTACCCACTTACGCATCCGCTCTCCCACACCCTTACCCACTCACTCCCCCACATGCTCACCTGCTCATCCACTTACTCACCCACTGACTCACTCACCCACCCACTCAACTGCTTGACCGTCCTCTTGTTCCCCAGCTCACTTGTCCCTCCGTTGTGTGTTTTTTAAAACACCCCCTCACCTCTATCTCTCCCTCCCCCCTCCCTACACATCCCACCCCTCCCCCAATTCCCTCCTCGGCGCAGCCCAGCGGAAGGAAGCAGACCGACTCAAGTCGTGGTTCTGGGGGCATTTGACGGCGTCATTGCTGCGTGTGCGTGAGCACGTCAGCCCCTGGATCTTGGCCCGCGACGAAACGCTTGCCGAGTTGCAGGCCGACAACGAGACCCGCGATCGCACCTTGTTAATGATGCTCTGGGCCTCTCAGGTAAGGCCCCTGAATTAGCCCTGCAGCAGAGCCTTGTGTGTGGGGGGGGGGGGGGGTGTTGATGTACAAAACTCACAACACTGTTCATGTTTAAACAGGCTTTTAAAAATTGTTAAACACTAAAAGGAATGAGTAACGATGCGATTTGCTTTTGTCTATAATTATAACAAGCAAACTGCATCTCCTTTGGATGTGGGCTTCCGTACATCCCAGACAGCCAGCCAGCAAAACTTGTTATCTTGTATAGAGCCCTCTCTCCACCTTCCTCTTGCATTCCTCTGTACTATGTATCCCAGTTCATCTCTATTTCTCGATTTGTTACGTTCTCAATTCCTGTCCCTTTTTCTCCCTCTCCCTCCCTCTATATTCCTCTCTTCCACTGTATCTTCCCTACCCCTATCTCTTTGTTTATCTCACTCTCATTATTCCAACTTCTCCCTTGCCCATCTCAATCTCTCTTGCCTCTCCCGAATCCTCTCACTGTTTGTCATCTTCCCTCGCCCTCCTTTTTATTTTCTGCTCTCTTTTACCTCTCCGTTTCACACCCTTTCACTCTCTCCCTACCCCTCTCCTCTGCGTTCCTCTCCATCTCTTCCTCCCTCCTCTATCACCCTTCCTCACCTCCTGCTATCTCTCTCTTCTATCGCATGTGGGAGATATACGGCCAGGCTGAAGGGTGGAAGGATGGGGGGGGGGGAGAGCCATGATGTCAGCGCAACGCACAAACCCGACTCAACACTGTGGGATCATCACGCAGATCTGCATGATGATGTCACCTCTGCACATGCGCGCTTGCTTGTGTGCCAGGAATCCAGCCAGAAAAAACTTTTCTCTAATACATACGGTGCGAAAGAAGTTCAATATACGTACGCCAATTTGGCTAATTTTGCTTAAAGTGCCGACATACCCATAACTACACCTGCGAAGTACGCATTGGTTTAATACGTTTTTACTTGACTATAAGAATTTACCTTGGCAAGTCAGGAGGTGGCGCCCTTAATACGCACGGTGAGCGATGGAATTTGATGAAATTGTTTGATCGACCAACCTGGCCTCCAAAGTGCAGGCGGGCAGCAAAGCGACCACAGGCTGAAATGTCCCCCATGTGACCAGGGTAACACGGGCCCCGCGTCGTTCTGGACGCTGGCGTATCTGATGAGGCACACGATCGCCATGGCGGCAGTGCGCGCCGAGGTGCAGCAGCTGCTGGAGGCGACGGGGCAGAGCGACGGCGCGGAGACGCGAGTGATCTCGCTGACGCGTGACGCGCTCGTCAACACGCCCGTGCTGGGTGTGTCTACGCACGTGCCCACTCACCTGATCACTCGCTTACTCGGCCACCTGCCCACCCACTCGCCTATCCGCTTAATCTAATACTCACAGAGATCACCACCCCCCTGTATAGCCTTTAACAAACTTTTCGGGCAAGTGCGATTGGCGAACAACTTTGAAGGCCGACAGAGTATACGAGGAGGTGGGTGGCAAGCATCACGACTGTCCACCTTTGTTACCGCAATGCTGACGTTTACACACTGCATCAGGTACTCATTTTAAACTGAGTCGATAGAGGGGAGGACAAGAACCGGTTCAGATATTTATCACCAATGTTTGCCGCGAGCGGGAATCAAACTCGGTTCGCCGGGTTCATAGCACAGTGCGCCAACTACTGCTCAAATGCTCCCCACAATCACCTGCTCACGCACCCGTAATGTGCATGCCGCATCAGTGCGACTTGGCATCATGACTCCTCCTTACCCCTCGCCCCTCTTCCCCATGCAGACAGCGTAATTGAGGAGGTGCTTCGCCTACGCTCGGCTCCCATTCTCATACGTGCCGTGTGCCAGGACAAGACGCTGCAGGTTCCAGGCGCCAGCGGGCCAGGCCCCAAGCTCCGCGCCGGTGATCGTGTCGCCATGTTCCCTCACCTGAGCCCCCACATGGACCCTGAGATCCACGTGGATCCCGAGGTGGGGGAGACTGCTGTCTGTGCGTGTCTGTCGATGACGCCCGGGCATGTGCTCTGGTCTCCTCCCACACCAAGAAAAATACTCGTTGAGATGGAATGACCAATTAGGTGGCAGTACAGAGAGTAATCATAGTAACAATATTGTAGTTATACTGTGTTGGGAGGTTTTTTCTGGTTTTCTCCAGACTCCTCCCACACACAAAAACTAACCAAGTAATTTACTAAACAATTCCAAGCAGGATTGTGATATTCTTGCGACTCAGTGCATCCTTCATTTTGAAAAACGAGCACCCGATTAGGCCATCCTCTTGTTCCGCTGCGCCCCATGGCAACTGCCTTGCAGCTCACCTGCTCATCTGTGACGCGTTGTCTCATTCCGCCGTCGGCAGGAATTTAAGTTCGATCGCTTCCTGAACGAAGACGGCTCCAAGAAGACGGACTTCTTCAAGTCTGGACGCAAGCTCCGGTACCCCACAATGCCCTGGGGTGCCGGTGTGTCCATCTGTCCTGGGAGATTCTTCGCCACCAACGAGATCAAACAGTGAGTTCCCCTTTTGTGATGAGTGCCGGATAAACGCAGGGTCCTGAGGGGATGCAGCCCGGGCCAAAATTTATATTACTGCTACAATCTCTAGCTTTAAGTGGGGGGGGTCATCGTGCTTGTGCTCATGCGTCAATGTGCATGCGTCAATGTGCATGTGTCAATGTGCGTGTGTGCGTGGCTCTGCTCAGGTTCATTGTGCTGATACTGATCCACTACGACATCGAGTTCTGCGACCCCGCCACTAAAGTGCCAGACATCAACGTGTCACGATTCGCATTTGGCGTCATGCACCCAACGCACGAAATTTGCTTTCGTTACCGCCCGCGCTTCTGAACAGCGGTCGACACTACCCTCCTTGCCCGGTCTCTTAACCCTGCCCTGCTGCTCTTTCTCCCTCTCCTGTGAAGTTGCAGTTTGTATCTCCGACATCTCTCAAATTAGACGATGAAGGCTGTTTCAGTCGCTTGAAACTGTTCGTCCATCTTTGATTGTTAAACCTGTTTGGTTAAACTCTTGTCCATTCTCCCACCTGTTAATCTGGCAGTACATCTGTCAGTGCATCTCTCTGTACAATTATCTCTTGGTTCGTCTGTTTATCTCCGTCTATATTTCTGCCCATCTGACTACATGTCCGTTTCTGTGCTGCATGGCTGTCTCTCCACCTGTTTGTCCAACTATCTGTCGGCCTGCCGTTTGTCCATCCACCTGTTAATCTTATCTCCATTTTCATGTATCTGCCCACATGTGTATGTATTCATCTATCCTTTCATTAGTCTGTCATTATCATAAATCTTACTGACTGCTTTAATTGAATTCTGTGAAGGTCAGCGACGTAAATATGGGTGCTGCAACCCAGATAGAATTGCAACATTATCTGATGTCGTGCCTTGTGTTAAATACGTCTTTGGCATGGAAAGTAAAGTGTTGTTTATTCGATTAAACGTTGTTTGGAAAAAAAAATACAAAGGGTGGATGAATTAATTGCAGTATATGCATCCTGCAAACAACATATCCTACTCCCGAAAAGAATAAAATATTCATAAAATCAAGTGTACACGTATTTTATAACTTATATAAAGATTTACGGTTATATCTAGTTTAGAAATAGCATTGTCACCCATGCACATTGCATCTCACAATCGCTATGTAACAAACAAGCTGGAAGACAGCAACCAGGTGGTGAGCCGGCGCTTTCAACAATTGCCCAAGCTCTGCAATCCTCTATATTTTAAGATGTTTTGAGCCAATTAATGAGTGCAGAATGCATGTGGGAAGAAAATGGAGCCAACCAGAGAAAGCCGACGTGTGCGAGGGAGCAACACTATATACCACCTCCTGGCAAGGCATGGTATCCATGGGAAATGATTAACAATAATTGTACGATCTACAAACTCTTACCTCCACAGTGCTGGATTATAGGTGTGCCCCACCACCACTAAAGATGCACAGAATGAGTTTTAGGTTAAAGTAACCTACACTTGACATTGCATCCAATCAGTGACAAATTATGCGACTGGACTAAAAACTACACGTAAATTACTGTACAGAACCAAATGCCAGAGTAACAATTCCTTCAGCTTTTATATGTTTAGTTTTTATTTTAAAGCTAAGCAACTTCAGTTTCCCAGATTTTTTAAAGTTATTTTTCCTATCTAATCTCCACTTCAGCTGCCACGTGGGCTGGGTGACCTTGGAAAGGGTCACGGCCACATGACAACAGACTGCGCCATGGACGTTCAAGGTTTTACAAGAGGCAACCGGGTAAAGGTTGGGGGCAGGGTGCACAGATGGAGGTTACAGGGTGGATGGCATGAGGTTGCAATGATTTTTGGTTGAAGTTGACCATTTAACAAAAAAAAACACATTCCTGCGGAGGGAGCTGGTAGGAACGTTGGGTTGCTCGGTCAATGGCCAGGGTCAACGGCGGCGTGGTGTATTCCGCAAATATGCCGGACTGTGAGGGCGGGCACAAGCCGGCGTGAGTAGGTTAAACGTTGAGTTTTATAAGGGCACCACGGGGTGACCAGCCCCTCCCCACCCAGCCCCACTCCTCCCACCCCCCACCCAGCCCCACCCTCCCCACCCAGCCCCTCCCCACCCAGCCCCTCCCTTCCCACCCAGCCCCTCCCTGCACGACGGACACAATAATCCCCTGTGGGCTGGTGTAACCAGGAGGTTCCTACCAGGATAAGCTTGGACTTATTGCGCGGTTGAAAGTGAAGTTTGCGGTGATGGATTTGTCATCCAAGGCAACCGACTACAGAAAACTGTCCGATAAAGAACCGGTTTTTCAACCAGTACAGAACCTTTCTAGATTTGAAGTTTTCGTGACTGCAAGGATCCATACTCTTTGGTTCTTTCGGTAAAGTCACGTAAGTTTAATTTAATTTATGTTTATTTTATTCTTTTTTCATCTACGTGACTTTACCGAAAGAACCAAAAAGTACAGTACAGAACCCTCATTGCGCGTGATGAAGAACCGTCGTCTGATACAGAACCCTCATTTCACGTCCCTTGTCTCATCCAATGCAGAGGCCTTTTCTCGTGTGATACAGAGTCCTTGTCTCATCCAATACAGAACCCTCATCTGATCCAATACAGAGCCCTTGACCAGGGACAATTCGCACACAAAAACTGCGGAACATTTCAATTGGGCAGCAATATTCGTAAGAGCCAAAAGTAGTCTTCTCTGTCGTGAAAACCCCGCAGGTTAATTGCAGCCAGTTCAGGACGAGGTCACCACTCCCGCTATGCCAGCCAATCGGCTGCCAGGAAAGTTATCCTGATGCAACATGGGCGCAGAGACGTTATCGCTATGGCCTGTGGCTGAGCTCAGTTGTATATTTACGTGATTAATGGGTTTGTCATACTCTTGGGTCTTTCGATCAAGTCACGTAAATAAAGAATAATCGATCACGACGTTTCAATCGCAACACAAGCAATCGTCTAGGTTGACCAAAAGACCCAAGAGTGCGAATTCCTGCAGTCACGAAAGCTTTAAATCAATATTTATTGGGTTTGTCTTTTAATTAATGCGAGTATGAATTTGCGTGAATTTATTTGTACGTGTGAGATAGTGCGGTAGTGTAGCGGTTAGCTCACGGCCAACACCAGTGACGATTATCTGAACTAGTTCGGGGCCTCCCCTAGGTCGACTGTTAAATAAACGAGTAATTTTAAAATTAAAATTTTCCAATTTTTTTTTATTTGAACCAAAAAATGTTGGCATTTCCATTCCACCTCCCATCGTGGCTTAGCGTCCGCTCCGTTTTCGTGAAGAATCCATTCCAAAGCATCTCGTCGGGTTAATGGTGAATCGAATCTTCTGGAATAAACCGGTGAGAGGGCATTTACGACCGCCCGTCTGTCTGTATGTGGGCACCCCCCGCACCCACCACTCTCTATGCAGCAGACATTTGTTTGCGCGTCTGGTCTCTGTGTAATAAATGACTCTGTCAGGCGATGCTGGTCTCCGTCTTTTATTTAGGTTCTTCTCCACACCCCCACTGGCCTCTTCCTCGGACCAGTGCTGTCTCGCGTGCGCCCCGCGTACGCTCTCTCCCTCTCTCTCTCTTGCCCGCACACTCCCCCGTTAACTCCCCTATTCCCGCACTCCGCTGGACGACGGCATGCAGAGGTCCTTCGGCCACGTGGCCGATGGCGCGGATCCCTCTCACCACCCAACGTGGCTCAGCCTCTTAGATTCCCCAACTGCCCCGATCTCTTCCGGGCTCCCACTTATATACATTCCCCCCACGTGACCCTGACTCCTCCTCTTCCGGATCCTCAGATCCGACCTTCCCATACGATCTCTCTCCCGCTGGCTCCGCCCCCATTCACCTCGCCCCCCATTGGAGCCGAGGCGAACGGTGGCCCCTCCCACACGCCCCGCAGAACAGGCTCCGCCCACCAATACCCCCGGCCTTGTGATTGGACCCGAGCCCAGCAACAACCCCATTTACGCTCGCATTACATCTGTGTGTTTGTTTTAGGGTGCAGCTTTATGGCATTTGTCGCAGCCAAATGGGAGAACACCAGATGCTTTGTTCCGAACAGCCCTGGGGTTTAAAAGTTTTGCTATGCAAATTGTTAAAAGCGTAGCCGTATTTGTGCAACGGGTCAAATAAATGCCGCAGTAGTGGGTTCGTAATCGTCTTTTCTTTCGTGAACGTTTGGTTCATCCACGTGCAGGTGCTTTGCAGTAGCTGTGCACGTTTTAAAGTTTGGGTTATTGCTCCTATTGACGTGGATTTGCGAGTGAAGCTGTCGTGACTTAAGGTGAAGAATTCAGTACCGATTATAGTGTTCACTGACATTGTGACCACCATCGTCACTGACACCACAGTCACCACAGCAGACGTCTAAACAGCCAACATGATCATCGCATATTCTTTTTACTGGACATCTGTAAAAAAGAGCTCTATGGCTCATCGGATTCCTCCAGTATGAATATATATTCTGATATTCACCATCACTGATATAACGGTATCATTGTCACCAACATTATCCTCACTAGCATTGCCATCAATGTGTTATGAAGGGCCATTGCCTGAAACGTCACCTATTTCTTTCAAGTCGTGATGCAGCTGCTACGTGGGTTACTGCATCGCGGAATCGTGAGCAATGGCAAGGGCTTAGAAAGGCGTTCATCCAGCAGGGGATTGACCAGGATGATGATGTACAATCTTGTGGTGTATCGAGTTAAAAGTGGGCAGTAATCAGCATCAGAATCTTTATTGAGACTGGGAGAATTCGATGCGCTATGAAGCTCATTTTCACAGATGTCCAGTCGGGGTGGGTCAGAAAGTCACAACAACAAGACAAACATCGATAGGATTGCAAAGTATAGGAAAGCTAAGCGAGTGATTAAATAGAAAAAATAAAGTATGTAAGTACAAATTGCATAACGGATTGTGTTGATATGTATATTATGTTGTGCTGGAAGTGTTATATCGTTGATTGCATTATACCTGTGTACGGTAATACCTTGATTTATAAATTAGATGCGTTCCTGGAGCTTTGTATATCGAAACTTAAAATATTGAATAACTTCCAACATCTTCTTGGTTCTTTCGGTAAAGTCACGTAGAATGGAAATAATAAAATAATAAAAATAAAACATAATAAAATAATTCTCACGACGTTTCGGCCACAACGCAAACAGCCGTCCTCAGGTGGAGAGCAGACCTGCTCTCCACCTGAGGACGGCTGCTTGCGTTGTGTGAGAATTATTTTGTTATTTATTTTTTATTATTTTCATTCTACGTGACTTTACCGAAAGAACCAAGAAGATGAATCCCTGCAGTCACGAAAGCTTTACATCGAAATTTAACTTCCAACAGTGCTCTGAGAATGCGTTCCTCGCCTTCGTAACTTACCACGTCAGACTATAAGCACTTCATAACTTACCATTAATATTGTCAACAAAGACAGTTTATATTGAAAATAATATTATATTTATACCGTGCAGTATTCTAATTAAAAACTGACATACATGTAGTGTACTTTACTATGAAATATATTCACACTAATGAGTGTAGTTTTTGGTGACGTCACAAGCTTGCATTGCCCAATGAACACCGTAGCTCCGTCACGTTGTGCGTTGATGCGCGCTGATTGGCCGAGACGAATGTAAACAAACATTCAATGACCCATCGCGATGCGCAACCCTCAGGTACCGTAAGTGGGTAGTTTTCATTTTTATTCGTTTCGGTGTATTTATTATTGAACTCAAATTTGTTGTTTTACCATTGATATAATGGTAATGAATGCAAAGTTCGTTCGACTGAAATTTCGTATATTGAATATTCGCACATCGAAGTATTACTGTACAAAGGACCAAGTCATTTTTCACATTTCGAAGTTTTGTGTTTTAAATAATGCCACAGGGTCCTTAATGTCCACTGTGAAGGAGACGGTGCGTATTCATGGATAGTACAACTGCAGTATTAACCAGGGCGGCCGGGAGGCTCAAAACATGCACTTCTGCAACAAGCGGCAAATGCTGGGCCA